CTAGGGGTGGATAATAGACGTTTTGAGAATAACGAATTCAGAGAGAATGTGAAAACTACTGGAACAGGTCTCTCACCCTTTTTTTTTTTTTTTTTTTTTTTTGAGATGAAACCTCGCTCTGTTACCCAGGTTCGAGTGTAGTGGTGCAAAAATCTCGGCTCGCTGCAACCTCCGCATCCTGGGTTCAAGTGGTTCTCCTGCCTCAGCCTCCCAAGTAGCTGGGATTACAGGCGCCTGCCACCATGCCCGGCTAAGTTTTGTATTTTTAGTAGAGACGAGGTTTCCCCATGTTGGCCAGGCTAATTTTGAATTCCTGACCTCAAGTGATCCACCTGCCTCAGCCTCCCAAAGTGTTGGGATTACAGGCGTGAGCCATCGCACCTAGCCATCTCTCATCTTTTTATTGGTATGTTTAGACTCAGTATTCAGAGGCAGGGTCATCTCATCAAAAATAAGTTGATAGAAATAGAGCAGGAATCATGACCCCAAACCTCCAGTGGCTCATTCAAGTAATTAAGGCAGTGATTAGTTAGATTCTGAGATGAAAGATAAAACATGAGAAAAACGCTTTGTTACTCTCTGTATTAGTCAGGATTCTCCAGAGAGACAGAACAAATAGGAGATGGATATAGACATAGATTAGATATGGCTGTAGATATAGATAGATAGATAGATGAGAGACGATTTATCAGGGGAATTGGCTCAAATGATTATCGAGGCTGAGAAGTCCCAGGACAGACTGTCTGCAAGCTGGAGACCTAGGAATTCTGGTAGCACAGCTCAGTACAAGTCCAAAGGCATCAGAACCAGGAGGTGATGGTGTAACTCAGTCCAAGGCCAAAGGCCTGAGAAACCGAGGGTCATTGGTGTAACTCATGGAGTCCAAAGGTCGGGGAGCCTGAAATTGTCCAAGGACAGGAGAGAGACAGTATATCCCAACTCCAGTAGATAGATCAACCCGTTTGCCCTTTCTATTTTTGTTTTCTGCAGGTACCCAGAGACTAGACGGTATCTGCCCACACTGAGGGTGGATCTTCCCCACTTAGTCCTCTCAGACTCACATGCCAATCTCCTTTGGAAACACCCTCACAGACACACTCAGAAAAAAAATGCTTTACCAGATTTCCAGGTATTTCTTATTCCAGTCAAGTTAACATCAAAACTTAATCATCACACTCACTTATTTTTGTTTTCCTAATTGTTTCTTGCATATAAATAGCTCTAGGAGAGTCCATCAAAGCCATGAAATCTCTTCCCTCCCAGAACTGGGTGGCAGAGAAAGTGGTAGAGGTTGGTGTCATGATGCAGATGAAATGCAGACCCATGTAAATACAGTCCTGTAGTCTGCCACTGCTGCAGAGGCTCCACTTGATTGTGGGATGTAAGATGCAGGTGCAGAATGAAATGGGGAAACCCTGAGCCAGAGGGGGAGACAGTGATCCGGGCCCCCATATGCTCTGCGAGATATAGATCCTGAGCGCCACTGGCCCCCATTCCAAACTCAGGAGGCTTCCTGCTTTGGCTGCCATTCAGGGACAAATTCATGAAGACTTCCTCATAGCTCTTCATCCCAAGGCAAATCCATGGACACCCTCTCCTCTAGCTCCCCTCCCAATTGGTGGAGGCTGGGGGGAATGGATCTAAAGCAGGAGGGTCTCAAATCTGATAGTTATTCAGGTCTTACTGGAGCTTCCAGAGAGCTGGGCCTTGGGATCTTCATTTATAAAATGAGGGATTTGCACCAGGCAGTCCCTGCCAGCTCAGATTCTGCAAACATGATTCCCTTTACCTATTTATTTCTAAAGTAATGTGTGGGCCTGCACGATGGCTCACGCCTGTAATCCCAGCTCTTTGGGAGACCAAGCAGGAGGATCACTTGAGGTCAGGAGTTCAAGACCAGGCTGGCAAACATGGTGAAACTCTGTCTCTACTAAAAATACAAAATCTAATCAGGTGTGGTGGCATGTGCCTGTAGTCCCAGCGACTCAGGAGGCTGAAGCAGGAGAATCGCTTGAACCCAGGAGGCGGAGGTTGCAGTGGGCTGAGATCGTGCCATTGCACTCTAGCCTGGGTAATAGAGTGAGATTCCATCTCATAATAAAATAATGTGTGCTACTTAAAAAGCCTCAAATAATACAATGTATACAAAATCCCTTCGTGTGTTTTGAGCTGTGACAATGCAAATATGAAGAATGAGTAGGGCTCATTTGACTATGTCTGTGACTATGTCTATTTGACTGGGACAGTTTCCATTTGCATGTATTGTCAGCCTGTCATTGCTAACAACACTCCTTTTATTCTCAAAATTTCCCAGTTGAATGATTATTTATATGGACCACACAAGCATGGATAGCCCTGGGTGTGGTGCTATGCCATGGCTGGCTGATGAGAGTAGTTTCCCATAACTATAGAAGACATGGGCAGAGCTTTAGTTAAAAAAGAAAAAGAGACTGAATAAGCAGATTGTTATGATATGTCAAACCCATCAAGGCCTAGAATCCTCTGTGATGTCCCCAAAACCCTATGTAAAAAAGGGAGGGACTCTGAGAAGAGTGAATGCCCAGTTATGACCCTAAGGTAAGGGGAGAAGGAGGAGCAGTTGGGGAGTCACTGGCCCTTCTAAGACTTGTAAAGATCAAACCAAGGTGACTCTCTATGGGATAAAAAAGTGGCAGTGAAATTCACATACACACACACACATACACACACAGACACACACACCCCACACACCATTTCTTGACCCTACCTCCTTCTCCAGTTGTTATTTTATTCCATGCTGTCCCTCATCACCCGGTTTTCTGAAAAATAACCCTGGCCTTGTTGTTTCTCCTCGTTCACTTTTGTCAAGCTTCTGTGCCCACTCCTCACTCTCACCAAGATCATTAATGAAGCACTTCAGGTCCTTGTCATTTGACCTGCCTTCTTGCAGTGTTGGATGCTAACTGCTGTCTTTTTGAAGTCTTTCTTTTCCAACCTCTCTAGTGTTCCTTCTCAGATGTCTTTACTCAATCCTTAGAGTTTGGTTCCCCGGTGTTCTGCCCTCATCCCATTCAACAATTCTTCCTGCAGCTCTTGTCCACACCAATTCGACTATTACCTACAAACTAGTGAGTTGAAATCGCTATCTCCAGACATTTCTCATGAGTTCCATGCTTATATAGCTGACTACCTTGAGACACATTCCTATGGTTTTCCCCATGCACCCCAAACTTCACATGCTTAAACCTGAGATCATCAACTGCCTTCACCATTTCCCAAACCTATCTTGAATCTTGCATCCCTAATCTTGTGGAATCTCACTGCCATCTACCCCGTTTCCAAGGCAGGTCTATATAAACTATCAACTTTATTTTCCTTTTACTCCTTACATCCAAACAGTCAATAGATGCAATCAATTTTATGCTTTTGACCTATATCATGCTTCTGTCCCCTTCTCCATCCCCACTTCCCTTCCTTAGGCTTCTATTACTTCCCACCTAAAACACCACATGGGCAACTTCATTGATCTCCCTGCCTCTAGCTGTGTTCCCTTTTAGTCCAACCCTGTGTACTCTGACATCAGAGCAACCTTTTGAAATCTCAAATCTGATCACTGTTGCCACTTTATTGGAGTTCCTTCCTATGTAGCTCTGTTTTCCTTGGGGTCCTGGAATGATATTGGAGAAGGCATGGATCAGACCAATAGCTATAGGAGAAATGGCACATAAAAGCCAAGGTCTTATCATAGGCTCGGGACATTCTTTATACATTTTTTTTTTCCTTCACACTGTTTGGATTCACCTCACTAAGCTGAGCAAACACTAAGATTCTTTTACAATTGGAAAACGATCCTAAGAAGGAGACCCTAGGGTTCCAGTTAAAATGACTGTATGGTGGCTCAAGAAGCTAGTTTGAAAGATATGTGACCTCATTCGTTTTCCTAAACTGATGAAGGGAGCCTACCAGTTACATGTGAATGAGGAACTGTAGCAATGAATAAGGAACTGTAGCAATGAATAAGGAACTGTAGCATGTCCAACTGTGGCACATGCTGGTTGGACTCCAGTCTTCCGGGGTTGGGAGATGCTCCTCCCATACTGCATTCTAGTGTTTCCCTCTAAACTTCTGGATTCCATCACATCTCTGCTAAATATGCTTTGAAACTTCCTTCAGGATTAAAACAAAATTCTTGAGACTAGCACATGACATTGTACTTGGTGTGGCCTCTGCCTTCCTCGCTAGTCTGCCAACTGTATCTCTTACTCCAATTACGACAAATCATTTTCAAAAGTGCCACACTTTGATCTTGCTCCATGTTTTCTCTGCTGGGAACCTCCTTATTCTCTCAGCTTCTGTGCCTCTTGTTCCTCTTTGCTGTTTGGATGAGATTTTTTTTATCCCCATCAACATTTGATCTCCAATATGGTGACCTTGGGAAGTGGAGCCTAGTGGGTGATGTTTAGGTCATGGAGGGTGGGGAATGAATCCCTCATGAATGGGAGACTGAGGTGGGAAGATCACTTGAGCCCAGGAGTTCAGGACCAGCTTGGGCAACATAAGGAAAGTCCCATCTCTAAAAATAAAATTAAAACAATTAGCTGGGCATGGTGGCACATGCCTGTAGTCTTAACTACTCAGGAGGCTGAGGCAGGAAGATCTCTTGAGCCCAGAAACTCTAGGCTGCATGGAGCTATGATTATGCCACTGCACTCCAGCCAGGGTGACTGAGTGAGATCCCATCTCTTAAAAAAAAAAAAAAAATGCCATGGAGGCTATGCAAGACAATGTCAAGGTCAAGAAACCATATTTTGTCACCTAAAATTCATTATCTCCTTCAACAGAAATATTTACATTGTATCCCAGTGTATGGCTAGATTCCCTTTCTCAGTGTCCTTTGCAATTAGGTGTGTCAGTGACTGGTTTTCAATAGGTTGTGCACAGAAGATACTTAACTTTTCTGCACCAAGGATTTTAAGCAGTGGGTATGATTCATCCTTAATTACTCTTCCTTTTTTTCCCAGCTAGGTGCAGAGAATGCCAAGACCCTAGGGGATAGTGGGATGACAAGACTGTAGGAGCTATCTGCCAACCAGAACACATATCTTGAACTGTTGTGGGAGCAAGAAACAAGCATCTGTTGTATTCGCAGCCTGGTACATCATGTAGCCTATTAGTTCTAGCATCTTGGTCTACTCTAGATAATGTAGAAAGCTATTTAAAGTGTTGTTGATGATAAAATGGTGGTAAAATGGTAGTAAGAATTGGTTGGCAGGGATGAGACTGATAGAGGATATGGTGACAGTTTGAGTGAGATGGCTGAATCCATGAGACTGATTAAGTGACTCCATGCAGACGGTGAAGGAGAAGGAAAAGGTGATGATGGCTCTAAGGTTTTGCATGGGTCATTGGTGATATCATTCACTAAGGAAGGAAGTCTATCAAGGAGGGCGGGAGACAAGGAACAGAAGCAGTCAGGGAGTGGGAAAAGGGAAGTCATGATGTGGTTGAGGTTGAGGCGTCAGTGGAAAATCTATATGGAAAACTCTGGTTTGCAGGTGAACATTTATGTGTGGAGGTCAGGACAATGGGGTCTGAGCTGAAACCCACGTGTTGATGAGGTAACGACACATAGATGATAACGGTAACAACTGGAGCATCCAGGAAGACGTAGTGGGCCAGAAGCAGACCAACGGCTGACTATGAAGGAAAATCAACATTCTAAGAGGGGAGAGCCTTAAAATACCTAGACATTAGCCTGTAAAGGCTCATGTGACAAAAGACCCAAAAAATTCACATAAATTTGAGACATACAAATCTTAAATAGAGACATTTATCATGTTTGTAAATTGGGGTATCAAGATTGCAAAGAGATCGATTCTCCTAAATTGATGTATAAAATCAATGCAAACGCAATACAAATTATAACAAGACTTTTTCATGGAATTTGGTGAAGTCATTCTAAAATCCGTGTAAAACAGTAAGTATGTAAGAGAGGCTAAGACAATTTTCAAAACAAACAAAAAAAAATCCAGAGTGTGTTTGTGTGAGAATTGTGTGTGGGGAAGGGATGGGGGGACCATAGCCCACTAGGTGTGAAGGTGTTACAAAGCCAGAGTGACTAGGAGGGTGGCATAGTGGGGGATTACACAAATGAGCATAGGGCCCAGACATACATGAATACATCCAAGGGAATGTAGCATTAGGAAAATGTTTTATTTGTGTAAACAATTTACATGCAATCACTGCTTTGAACCATTCACACAAAACCAAATTGCAGATGGTATAAAGACCTATACATAAAATAAATAATAAATAAAGGCCTTGAAAGCACTGTAGGAAAAAAATCAGAAGATATATACTGGTAACCTTAGTTGGAGGAAGTTCTTTATTAGACAAGGCACAAGTGCAAAAATCAGAAAGGAAAGCCATATTGTTTGAAGTACAATAAAAAAATCTTAACGGCAAAATATGTAATAGTTAAAACTCATGGACAGGGAGAAACATTTGTAATATCCATAATAAAGAACACATGTCTAGATGAAGGCTGTCTTAAAAATGCCTAAAAATAACGAGGGCAATGCAAATAGCAAAAAAGATAAATAAGCAAAGGACAGAACAGATAATTCACAGAAGCGAGATCACAAATGGCTTAAAAGCAAATGAAAATGAACTCAACAATTGGCACACAGAGAAATGCAAATGAAAACAACGGGATGCTATTTTACAGTCATCAGAATGGCAAATATTAACAAATTTTATGCTATATCACATTGGCAAGTAGGTGTTATAAATAAGCATGCTCACAAATTGTAGTGTAAATTTGTATGTCTATCTGAAAACCATTTTGGAATATCTATTAAAATGTAAATACCCACCCTAGAGAAACACAAATGTGCACAAAAAGTATACACATACAGAGAGCTCAATGCAGCTTTATTTATGATCATGAAATATTAGAAATATCTTACATGGTCATCATATGAGAATTTTAAAACTGACAGTGGAACATAGATGCCATGTAGCAGGTAAGAACAGGAAAAAAAAAAGAGCTTAGTTTATATTAACTGGCATTAAACAATCTTTAAATAAAAAATTATTACCTAGAAAAAAATGTACAGTATAATTCCACTTAGAAAAAACAGGACCCAAAGCACTATATATTCCTATAGAAATATGCATTTCATCTGTGGCAGGACCAGCCGCAGACAAAACTCCTCAGACACCGAGTTAAAGAAGGAAGGGGTTTATTCGGCCGGGGGCATTGGCAAGACTCCTGTCTCAAGAGCCGAGCTCCCCAAGTGAGCAATTCCTGTCCCTTTTAAGGGCTCAAAACTCTGAGGAGGTGCATGTGAGAGGGTCGTGATTTATTGAGCAAGCAGGGGGTACGTGACTGGGGGCTGCATGCACCGGTAATTAGATCAGAACAAAACAGGACAAGGATTTTCACAGTGCATTTCTATGCAATGTCTGTAATCTATAGATGACATAACTGATTAGGTCAGGGGTCGATCTTCAACTACCAGGCCCAGGGACTCAAAGTGATCCTCAGTTCTGGCAGCTGTGTGCTCACTGGAGACTTTAGCAGGAATTATTTCCATGGAATATAAAGAATGTAAACCATAAATAAAGTCCTAAGTCTCCCTAATCAAATAAACAAATTCCCTCTGGGCCAAGGGTATCCCAGTGGTGCCGGGCTGTCTGCTTGTGGATTTCATTTCTGCCTTTTAGATTTTACTTTTTCTTTCTTTGGAGGCAGAAATTGGGCATAAGACAATATGAGGGGTGGTCTCCTCCCTTACATCTCTGTATGTGAAGGCAGGAGAAATGTCTGGAAGGAAACAAATAAAGCATTACCGATTACCGACTTAAAAGGAAGAGGCTGAGGCATGTCATGTTATTTAGAGAGTTTACTTGAGCCTAAGAGAGGACAGCTGCCTAGAAGGCTTAGCCCCAATTAACCTTGGATATGAGCTCCTTTCTGCCTTTGTTACAAGCAGGCTTTTAAATGGCAAAAAAGGGAAACACAGAGTGGGCTAATACAAAGTTGTTTGTCAGGAATTTTCATTGGTTTTCAGAAATAACAATGATTAGTGATACACTGCTGGGTTATGGTATGGGTTATACTGTCCAGTGCAGCATTATTAGGTTAATTTATAGTAATTTGTGGCAACAGCAAGCAGTTTCAACAGAAGAATACATAGCTCCAAGGGCAGAGTGGGACATAGTTGCTGTCTCATTTTAATGTCTCTCTGGGCCTGATATTTTGTTTTAATTGTATAAATTTAAGGAGTACAAGTGCAGTTTTGCTACATGAATATATTGTACAGTGGTGAAGTCTAGACTTTTAGTGTAGCCATCACCTGAATCATGTCCATGATACTAATTGAGTAATTTCTCACCCCTCACCCACTCTCCCACTCTTCTGAGACTCCAGGGCCTATTACTCCACACTCTACATCCGTGTGTGCAAATTATTTATTAATAGCTACCACATATAAGTGAGAACATGCGTTATTTGGCTTTCTGTTTGTAAGTTGTTTCACTTAAAAATAAATGGCCTCGGCCGGGCCCAGTGGCTCACTCCTGTAATCTCAGCGCTTTGGGAGGCCGAGGTGGGCAGATCACCTGAGGTCAGGAGTTCGAGACCAGCCTGGCGAACATGGTGAAACCCCATCTCTACAAAAATGCAAAATTAGCCGGGCATGATGGCAGGTGCCTGTAATCTCAGCTACTGGGGAGGCTGAGGTAGAGAATCACTTGAACCTGGGAAGTGGAGGTTGCAGTGAGCAGAGATTGTACCACTGCACTCCAACCTGGGCAACAGAGCGAGACTCCATCTCAAAAAAACAAATAAATAAAATAATAAATAAATAAATAAATGGCTTCCAGTTCCATCCATGTTGTTGCCAAAAAAAAAAAAAAAAAAAAAGTCATACGACTTTATTGCTGAATAGTGTTCCATTGTGTATATATACCACATTTTCTTTATCCAACCATTTGTTGAGGACACAGTTTGATTCTGTATCATTGCTGGGCCTGATCATTTAAAAGGACTCACATTCCTCAAATGAAAATTACTTTTTCAGCTGATACCAGTGGTTGTCTCTGGGGAGGGACCTGGGCAATTGAAATGGCTTGTTAAGGAGAACTTTACCCTTATCTGCAATGTTTAACTTGTACACTTATAGAAATGTATTAATTATATAATTTAAAATTCATCACTTAACATGTGGGTAGAGAAAAGGCAGCATGTGAAGGAGACAGAGCAGAAGCAGATGGGGACGATGGGAGGATGAGTGCTGTAGTAGAGCTTCAAGAAAGAGAAGGGAACCAGCAAGTGCTGCTGGCAGGGAGGGCCAGGTGAGGGGACTCAAAGTGATCCTCAGTTCTGGCAGCTGTGTGCTCACTGGAGACTTTAGTAGGAATTATTTCCATGGAATATAAAGAATGCAAACCATAAATAAAGTCCTAAGTTCCCCCAATCAAATAAACAAACTCCCTCTGGGCCAAGGGTATCCCAGAGAAACCTGGGACAATTCAGAAGAACTGAATTCCCATGGGTCATGACAGGAAGTGAGGTTAGGCATGCCTCGTTATACCCCTCCTTTTTGGAGTTTAGGCACAATGGACCAGCATTAACATTAAAACAGTGATCGGCTGGGCATGGTGGCTCACGCCTGTAACCCGAGCACTTTGGGAGGCTGAGGCTGGCAGATCACGAGGTCAGGAGATCGAGACCATCTTGGCTAACATGGTGAAACCTCATCTCTACTAAAAATACAAAAAAATAGCCAGGTGTGGTGGCAGGCGCCTGTAGTCCCAGCTACTCGGGAGGCTGAGGCAGGAGGATGCTGTGGAGGCAGGAGGATAGTGTGAACCCAGGAGGCGGAGCTTGCAGTGAGCCAAGATCATGTCACTGCACTCCAGCCTGGGCAACAGAGTGAGCCTCCATCTCAAAAAATAAAGAAACAAAACAGAAAACAAACAAACAAAAACAGTGATCATAGGACAGGCAAAATGACTCTTTGTGGCAATAAGATCCATCATATTCAACCTGACTCTGCTGTAGCATCACTTGACAGACAGCAGACCCTGAAAAAAAATCAAAGTAGTTTACCCTAACAGATATTTCTTTGACATATTTTTAAATGGC